AGATCATCTATTTTCTCCTAAAATAAATATTTATCTGAGTTTTCAAGACATTTTTCTTACAAAAGGGGTTGTTTTTCCTGCCCTCCTCTAAGTAGGAAGGCATTTTACTTAAACAATCCTCATTGTCACCATGTTTCTGATTCTGCCCACAAAGTAGCAGCTTGCAAACAAGAAGGCATGGTGCAGAAACCGGGAGGAGCATGAAGTCTGTCTGGTCTTCTTTTTCCTCTTGATGTGCTTCTAAGGCAAGATCACATTTTGTTCTTGCTGTCTTAAGTTTGAAAGAGGTGGGAGTCAGAGAGGAAGCACCTGTAGTTTTTAGTGCTACCACAGATGAATAAGCCTATTTAATTCTGGACAGAGCACATTTAAAAATACTTTTTAACATATTTGGTGTAACACTTTCATGATTATTGTGGTCTCTATCCTTCTTAGTCCTTAGTCTTTAAGATGATGTTCAGAACTGAGAGCCCATGCTTTTGAATGGATGCTTTTTCTGCCTCTAATTAAAGTCCAGCAGATAGATACAATTTTATTTCAGTATTTGTTTTATGTTATATAATAATGAAATATATTATGAAAATAGTCATGAAATATATTTCAGAGCTACAAATCAATATAACCTAGGAGTGTAATCTTTTCAGGATTGATTCTTTAAATTGAGGAGGTTATTTTAGAAATTTAAAGAGTAATGGAGTTTAGATATCATTATCCAAAACTGTAGCAAGCAGAATTACTCTATTGATAATATTCTGGAAGCTGTAAATGCAATAAGTAGGGAAATGATATACATTGAAGTTTTTATGATATGTTTTTTCCTATAGGGATATAATTCAATCACTGGCTTTATCTATCATAAAATATCCTATCCTATTAAAGGTTTCAAATACTCTATCCAGTTTTATGTCTATGTCAATAATATATTTCAATAAATAAGTCTGAAAAAAATTAATTTTTCAGGTATTTTCTTTCCATCTCTTTAATACTGACAGTGAATTTTTTACATTCAACTTATTTTGAACAAATACTTAATTTGGGGTAAGATTTAGGTGCTTATGAAACATCTAATTATAAAACAACTAGCTTTTTGTTTAAAAGGTTTGCTTATATATAAGACACCATGTTTTCTCTTGTATGTGGAATATAGACCTAATACAAATGCAGCAATATTATGAAAAGCAAGTCACTTTAAGGCAAGATCAAGTACAAGGGAAGGTAAAAAAAGGAAGTTAAGAAATGGATATGATTGATATATTCTCTATACAAGAATGAATATAGAATTCTTAAGCCTGTTGAAATCACCATAAGAAGGTGACTCAGGTAGAAAGGAGGAAAAAAGACAAGATGAAACAATTCCAGTTATAATACAAATATACATGGAAGTGTCACAAGGAAACTTTCTGTGGTGGTAGCTTAAACAAAATTGTCATTTTTTTCTTTTTCTTTCTTTCTTTTTATTTTTTTACAAAATCCAAGAGCAGGAGGAGGAACAGATCCTGCCTGGGGGGGTGTTATCAGTGGGAGAGAGGAGGAAATGGGGAAAGGGTATAGGAAGGTGAACATAATGAAAATACAGTGTACAAATGTATATAAATGAAAAAATATTACCTGTTGAAACTATTCCAGGAATGGGAGGAGGAGGAGATAAAGGATAATGATGGGAGGGGGTGAATGCAAGTATTATATATTTATAATATTGTAAGAACTTTTTTTGATACTATAGTGTATCCCAACTCATCACAGCAGTAACAAAGTGAAAAGAAGAAAACACCCTTGAAGTGCTAATATAATTGTTCCTTGATCTTGTCATTTAGGAGAGGGAGAGAGAGAGAGAGAGAGAGAGAGAGAGAGAGAGAGAGAGAAGAGAGAAAGAAATACAGAGTAAAAGAGTGAGGGAGAATTAGTTCAAGTTAAATGTCACAAATCTTATTTTAAAAAATGAGCAATACAATTTCATGTTCAATTGGGTAAAACAGATGAAGCTGAAATGATAGACTTATACAGCAAAATATGTAAGTGCAATTACAACAGCAATTATTTTCAAATTCCCTAAAATTTCTCAGGGTTTACCTTTTAATTTCAGACAGTTTATATCTCTAAGCTATTTAATAATTTCTTTCATTTAAACTGAATTATTAACATCATCCAACAGAGATTCTGGAGGGAAAAATAGGTAACATCCACATAAGAAAATTTATTCCAAAAAAAATAATAATAACACAAGCACTAAAACCAAGAAATAAAAAGTGAGTGAGAATGTTAGTCCCAACCCAACCCCAGAATAAAATGGTGGAACATATTTTAAATAATTGAAATAAAACTACTTACCCAAGGTATTGTCATTATTGGTTATCACAGCTTTGAAGTCTATTGTGAACTCAAGTAGTGTAATGCTTTCTTCTTTGTTCTTTATACTAAAGATAGCTTTGGATATTTTGGGGGGTTTTAAAGTTCCATAAAATTTTAGGATTTTTTTTCCTAGTTCTGTGAATAATGTCATTAACATTTTTGATGGAGATCACACTGAGTATGTAAATAACTTTGGGTATATTTAATAACATTGATTTTGCCAACCCATAAACAAAGGTTGTCTTCCCATTTTTTTGTATGTGGTCATCAATTCTTTCATCAATGTGTTGCAGTTTTCATGGTACATCTTCTACCTCTTTGGATGAATTTATTCATAGGTATTTTATTTTGTAGACATTATAAGTATGATTGCTTTCTTATAGCAATCATATAGCAAATAGATAATTTGCTGTTGGTGTATAACAACATAACTAACTTTTGTATGTTGATTATATGTCATGAAACATTGCTGGATTTGTTTATTAGTTTGAAGATTATCTTTGGTGGAGTGTCTGGGATTTTCTATATATGAAACTATGTCATGTGCAAATAGTGACATTTATTGACATCATTGGAATAGTCAATAGGAAAAAGTGATTTAATCCCACAAAAATTTTAAGCATGGTCTATAAAACAATCCCCAAACAAAAATGAAAAACAACAACAAGGTAATGGAAAAATAGCATGTGCATGCAGTTAGCCTTTTCTCTCTACCTATCTCCTACAACTTGTCTCTTTGGGTCCTTGAGGTTATATGGCACACTTATATTTCCTAAATGTGCCCAGGCCCCTAGTTTTACAACCTGTTCATGGTTTGCTCATTTGCTTTTTCTTGGCCCTGATTCTCTATAAGTCTGAATCATTATTTGCAAAATTCACCCTTGTTCCTTTCTGGGTTTGCTTCTCTTATCCATTATTTTTCTTGAATTCTATTTCATGTATCCTCTGCAAGTATTGAAAACGTTTACATTTATCTGTGAAGCAGACAACCTCTGGCTCCTAGGCAAATGTCATTTTACTTATTTATTCATTGATCGAAGTTAATAAGAACCTACTGCACACTGAGCACTATCATAACCATGGAGTAAAGGAATGACAAATACTATTAAGGTCCTTGTTCTTAAGAAAATATGGAGGAAAGTGGTTATAAACCAGTAGACAAGTAAAGAATATAATTTAAAAAATTATAAATTCTCTTTAGAATGCTAAGTAAGATAGTGAATTAGTCAGGATAAAGGGTTTTCAGGGTTCTGTTGCTGATAAGGTGGTCAGAAAAGACCTCTCTGAGAAAGTAACATTTGTGTAGAAAAATGTGAAGTCATTTTATCAAAAAATAGAGTGTGAAGAGGAGACAAGGTAGGGATCTAAGATATATCCCAGCATTAGATCAGTAATGTAGGTCCTCACAAATCATAGCAAGATGCTTAGATTTTATTTGAAGAGGACAGTTCTAGGTATCAATTAAAACAGTATGACATGGCTCAGGTTTTTCAAAGACCTGTGTGGAGTATGAAGCCTAGGAATATTGTAGGATAAAAAATTATGGTTAACTGGTCATGGGATATTGGTATATGTAGTAAGTGACAAAAGAGTTTGATATGGGTTGTATTTTGGAGTAACACAATGCCTGACTTTCTGACAGATTGAACTGGCTGGGTAAAGAAAAAAAAAAAAAACTCATCATTTAAGTGAGAAATGAAGAGAATGCAGCCTTTCACAACTTCTACCCCAGATATGATTCTGCCCACTTAGCTTCTGGATGGCTTTCTTATCCAGACTTACTCAATTAACTTCATTAAAGGAAATGGGAATGCCCATTTCTTTCTTTTTTTTATTTTAAAGCAATTAAAAGAATTAGTTTTATTTAGGTACAGTCAACATACAATGAGTTGCACATATTTAAAATATATTGCCACAAAATCAAGGGAATACCCATTTCTAAATGAAATATGTTGGTGGATACTATGGGAAGTCATACATAATAATATATGTGTAGAATTCTAAGATATTTTTAAATTTTAGGAAAATATCAAATTTCACTCATATACCTCCCCACATATTTTTAGTAGTATTTAAAATACTGAGTCATACATCACCAAGATAAACCTGGATCCAACCACATTAAAAATATCATTCTTAACATTTATAAAATTAAAACTGAGTTTTTCACATTATGCATCATAATTTAAATATCTCTTTTTCTACAGTGCATGTTAGCACAATCAGAAATACTAAAATAGTGTTTTTTAAAAAGTAATTATTAACATTTGCTACAAGAAACCTCTCCAGCTCTCTGTAACCAGAAGTGATGACCCCCACCTGTGATTGCTTACCATTCAAACTTTTAAGCAAAATAGCTCATGTCACTCTGTATCTTAGCATACAATACTTGTGCCTATATTTAATAGACATTAGGTTCTAAATAGCTTTAAGGCAGAGTGTGTGTAATACTTGTCTACCTCCTGACTGTCCACACTGTACAAGGCATTGAGCAATTACCCAACAAATGAGCTATAAGTGTGCTGAGTAAGTGAATGAATAAGGTCTACTGTTATGGAGAGTAAAGTTGTCTGGATTAACCAACAGCTTTAAGGGATTATAAAGTTTATGGACAAGCACATACAGGTACAAATATTGTCAAAGAGCCATACCTCCCAGAGTAGCAGATAGCAAGAAATGAGTCCCATATTTCTTGATTAGATTTTCTGTGATTTGCTGAAGGGTAGGTCGACGTCCCAAAAGTCTTATGTTGCGGAAGAATTCAGGGGCAAGAGGCAGGGGGGAGCCAAGGAAATTTCTTCTCTCTACTGCAAGGTTATTTACTTTCCAGCGGCCAAACTCCCTGAAAAGCAAATTTATTTTTATTCATAAGTGCATAATCTATCTAAATGTTTTCATTTGAAAAGTTCACTTGGTAGTTTACCTGAGGTCACTCCATTACAATGATTCTAACTTGTAATAATATGTCATGTGCAATGACTAAAATAAGCAATATTTATATATTCAACTGGAATGAGTACTCATGCTCAAGTCATGTAGAGGAAAAATAAGCCACTGAAAGTGAACACTTTACACTGACATATTTTTCCCAAGGAAAGATGTATCCACAAAAATGATTTCATTATGCATAGAATATGAATACAGAGTTACTTAAAAAATGGGGGTGGGGGGCTAAGGTAATCATTTTCTAAGGGAAACTGACCAAAAAAAGAGAAGAATCTTTATTTTTTCCACTTCAAAGGTTCTTCTTCTATTCACTGTAGAGTGGGAATTTATACAACCTCAGGGGTATTATGGACTTGCAAAAAACACTTAAAAACATGGTCAAAAGAGAAACTGCACATTTTGTTTATTTTTGGTTTGTTTTTCTTTTTTAACCATAATCACTGCTTATAACATTCTGAAACCCAAATAATGTTCTGAAATTCAAATCAATTTGATTAGCAGTTTCTCAGTATGCAAAGTAACTTTACAGATGGATGTGGTAAATTAGAGAAATGGCAGATATCATTATGAAATTTAGACATTAAAATGATGTGTACATTCAAATTGACTGTGGTCCTATTTATGTTAAATTGCTAAGGATGGAAACTCTGGAAAGGCAACATGTCAGCAATACTCAAAGGAAAAATCTGCTGGATGCAGAGAAGTAGGGAAAAGATTTACCCAGATTAGTGAAGAACAGTGGAAGTACATCTTGGACTAACAAGTATGACCTCGAGAGTCTCTAATGATGAGTGTTTTGCAAATGTGACACCAGTGAGATTTTTAAAATGCTTTCTTTTGGAAACTACTTGTAAGATCAGCTTCACACTAGAATCTACAGAAGACTTTGGTCTGAACATAAATTAATTTAGGCTTCCTTCCTAGAGAAGCTGCTACCTTCTCCTCTAGAAATAAGATCATCTAGACAGTTTTAAATAGCATTGTTCTACCCATTACTCTCAAATAGCTGTACCTACCATAGTCATCTGGGAAACTCTTCCTTTGAGTTTCTGACTTATTAAATCTTAAGTGGGAATGCAGGTCTGTATTTTTAAAGAAATTATGTGTTATCACTTACTAATTGTACAGAATAATGGGTTTCACTGTGATGTTCTTACAAATCCGTACAATATACTTTGATCATATTAAACACTCCCATTAACCTCCTTGTTCCCGTTCTCTTGGTCTCCTTGTAGGTTTTACTTAAAAAAAGCCATGATATTTGTCTTTCTGAGACTGGTTTATTTTGCTTAACATGGTGATCTCCAATTCCAAACATTTTCCTACAAACATGTTTCATTCTTCTTTATGGGTAAATTAATCTTTCTAACATAAATACTAATGCTGCTGTTCTAGAGACCAAAGTTGAACAAGATATTTGTCCAGACAATTTGGCATACTGTTCATAAAATCCATTGAAAGTATTGTTTAAGTAAATATAGATATTTTAGAAACTGGATTTATTTTGTATTTCAGAAGACAGTAAAGATAACTTTGTTAAATTTCTAAACGTGAGTTGATGCCAATCAATAAAGTTGATGCCATAATGCACACATTATAGGTGTGCATAATATTCACGTATTGAAAAGGAAAACATTTGAAATAAAATATTTAAGTCTTATTATTTGGCAACATATCACAAAATATGTAGTAATGCAACATATCTAATTTATTAATTAGATCCATCAATAAAATATTAATAAATAAATATTTAATAAATAATGCTAAAATATTTTAAATAAAAATTTAATACAATAAAAAATTTAAATTGTATTAAATATTTAATAAATATAATAAAATATTGTTAATATTTTATTAATAAACATTTTATTATCATATTATAAGTTGTGACATTTCCTTATATGCTTACACCATACCTTGGTTTCATTTACCCCTCCATCATTCTTCATCATCCCCCTATTCCACACTTAAAATTATTTCAACAGGTTTCATTGTTCTATTTTCGTACACACCCATAAAGTACATTTACCACATTTTTCCTCCCTTCACCCTCTTTATTCACCTTCCTGCCTTCCACTACTACCCACCCTCTAACAGGATCTGTTTTACATTTCTGTCTTTCATTTTTAGGTGTATATTCATTCTTCAAAGGAGTTTCACCATGGTAATTCCCTATGAATAAATATATTGTACTTAAATCAGATTTACCTACTTCTATTACTTTCCCTTTAATTTTATTAAAAAATTTCAGTGGATTTTTATGTCATCTGCAAAGTTCTTTATTAAATATGTTCGTAAATCTGAGTTGTCATTGATTCAGAAACATAGAAGCTTATTTTCCAAGATTAATTTTTACATTTACTTCCTAGAGAAATGCATGGGTTTATCAAGGGAGAGAAACATTCCTTGACACTGAAGTTGTGGCATATACTTTCCAAGGGTTTTAAGTGCTAAATTTGTTAGCTCACATGTGTATATTCACAGATTAAGATGCAAGTTACTAAATTAATTTATTGCAATTTAAATGGTAAGGAAGAATCATTCAATGATAATACTTTATATCCCATATAAACCCTTTTCAAAATCTGAAGAGATTCTTACTAATGAATCAGAGTATTTGCTTGTTAGAAGAATGCAATTCTTGCCTTCTTCAAATTTTTAACACTTAGCAAATATCTAAATATAAATCCATCATCTATTTGGACCTGGAATATCTATGACTTCCTTTATTTTGTTCATGATAAATTTGACAAAGACAGAAATAATACAAAAGTGTTAAATAAATTATAATTTCTTGAATCAGTTAGTAAAACTACAGAATCAGTTTTTTAAGAAAATTTATTGTCTGCTGTTAATTGATTATGATTTTTGTCTATTATTAACACAAGAAAACTCTTGACAT